GCTGTTGTCAGTTATTGGCATTTGAACAAGACTCTGTTTTATTTTTAAGTATATTTGCACAGCTAGGAAGCATCTGCTGACAAGGATGAGATGATAAGCTGTATCGGAGCCAAGACAAGACTAGAAAAACAGGCTTGTTCTGAGAATGGCCTGCAGCCTCAGTGTCCATGGTAAGAAAATTCTGTCTCCACAGACAGTATTAGCTCTTAACACGTGGACATTTAAGAGAAAATCAGGCTTGGGATCGCCATCACATAACATAGTGCATGCATGTAACAGGTTCTGGAAAATGCATGCTGAATCTTGCATGCTTTTGAGCATGGGCCGGGGCCCAAAAATCGGCAGCCGAAGCTAAAGCTGTACACCCCAGAGTCTAAGTGCCCAGTCTTTTACCTGCCTTGAAAACACCAATGTGAAATGCTAGCCTTCAGGATTTTTGCAAACCAGGAAGAAGAACAAATGTTGCCAAAATGTCCCCACCTAAGTTGTTTAAGTATATTTAATAATTTAAATGGATTTAATAATTTAATTGGATTCTGAGGTTTCCTTGAACTAGAGAAGGGATCACTGGTGAATAAGGCCAGCATCCTGGGTGGTAACAAAGAAAGGAAACTGGTAGAAAATGCATCATGCTATTTGAACAAACTCAGCTCTGTCACTTGGGCAGGTCCTCAGCTCTTCAGCCAGATGCAGGGCCTCTGGGAGATGGGAGGGTAGAAGGTGTGATGACACTGGAGGAGGGTGAGAGGCAGAGCCAGTGGGGTGCTCAGCAGAGGCCAGCTTAGCCCCCAGCCTACCACTGCACACCGTTCCACCCTCTGCTACCTCCAGGTCAACCCCAAGCCACTGAACCATTGTCTGTTTTTCTGATGGACACATTCGTTCTCCCTCCACACAGTCCCTGTGGAACATAAATAGATAATCTAACTGTTTCTTTCTTATCCCACTGCCTGCCCAGTGCTTGCTTACTCATTCTGGGCTCTGTTTGCTTTGGATTAAAGCACGTCTGGATCCCAAAAGCTCCACTATTCTGTCCAACTACATACACGCCAAGCTCTTGGCCATTCTGGCTTTGTTGTTATTGTTTGCTCTATTTGTTTGAAACCTTAGCCATTTTCCATTCTGAGAAATTACAACTCTGTTTACTATGAATTCTCCACTGTAGGAATTTTCCCCAGGTGCTGGAGAGGGAGAGGGAAGGAGAGAAGAAATATGTTTATGAGATGGTGGGTGGGCTGCACAGAGGTAAGACCTCAGAACTGTTGCTCAAGACACATGATTGGAGGAAAAACTCCATCTGCTCACTGCAAGAAAGTGGGAGTGGGCAGGATGGGACTTATTTCTAGAGCATTCCTTTGATTAAAAAAATCCATTCTTGTGGTGCCTGGACAAGACTGCCCCACCCTTTCCTCCCCTGATTCAGTACTTCTCACCATTTTATCTTGCACCTTCCTTCTGTCCTTGGACTGAACTCATCACTTATTCTAACTGAACTCATCAATTATTCTAATTGCCAGTGTTGGCCAGAAAGTCAAATACCATTTTAAGCAAGGCATTTGGCTGCTAACCAGAATGTCAGTGGTTCAAACCCACCAGCCCCTCCTCAGAAGGAAGATGTGGTGATCTACTTCCATAAAGATTTACAGCCTCAGAAACCCAATGGGGGTCGCTATGGGTCAGAATCAACTTGATGGCAGTGAGATTGATTCCTATGTAAAGAAGGAATCCATGAAAGCTCAGAGGTCAAATGAAAATATGTAAGAACCAGGACCTCACTACTGGGACCAGCACGCTTTGTGCTACCGGATTTCTCTCTCTCTGCTGGGCTCTTCTTGTTTTCTGTCTTTCCCTCTTGCTCCCCCACTTTCCCTTGACATTTCACTCCTTCTCATTCTCTCTTTTTCTTCCTCTCCCTCTTATTCTCTTTCTCTCACTCTCACTTTTTTTTCTCCATCCCTCTGTTTCTCTGTTTCTCTCTCTCTCTCTCTCTCTCTCTCTCTCTTTCAGGCTCTTTTTCTCTTCTTCTCTCTTCCTCTATCACTGTCTCCTTTGACTCTTCCCACAGATGAGAGCACCGTGGGCTGGAAAGGTGGCAGGTAAAAGCACCATATTCATATCTTCCCAGCTTAGCAACCCTAAACAAAAACCAAACCTATAGCCTTTGAGAGAATTGACTCATAGCAATCTGTTGTTGTTGTTGGGTGCTGTCAAGTCTACTGTGACTCATAGTGACCCCGTGGACAACAGAACGAAACACTGCCCAATCCTGAGCCAGCCTCACAATCCTCGCTATACTTGAGCCCATCATTGCAGCCACTGTGTCAATCCATGCCATTGAGGGTCTTTCCCTTTTTCACAAACCCTCTACCAAGCCTGATATCCTTCTTCAAGGGCTGATCCCTTCTAACAACATGACCAAAGTAGGTGAGACAAAGTCTGGCCATTCTTGCTTCTAAGGAGCATTCTGGCTGCACTTGAACCAGGACAGATTTGTTCATTCTTCTGGCAGTCCATGTATTTTCAGTATTGTTTGCCAACACCACAATCCAAAGACATCAACTCTTCTTCAATCTTCCTTATTCATTGTCTAGCTTTCACGTGCATATGAGACAACTGAAAATACCATAGCTTGGGTAGGGCGGACCTTAGTCTTCAAAGTGACATCTTTGCTCCTTAACACTTTAAAGAGGTCTTTTGCAGCAGATTTGCACAATGCAATACTACATCTCAATGAAATCTCTGACAATTTTCAATCTTTTCTCCATTTATTGTGATGTTGCTTATTGGTCCAATTGTGAGGATTTTTGTTTTCTTTATGTTGAGGTGTAATCTATGCTGAAAACTATATAGGCTTTGATCTTCATCAATATGTGCAACCCTATAGGAAAGAGTAAAACTGCCCCATAGGGTTTCCAAGACTGCTGTATGTTTCTTCTATAGAGTAGGTTTGAACCATTGACCTTTCAGTTAGCATCTGAGTGTTTAATCACTGCACCACCAAAGATCCTTCTTAACAATGTTAGAGGAAAGAATTTCTCTCTCACAACTTCCATATACAATCCCAGAAAGAGTTTCTTACTGGCTAGCATAGGGCCAATGCTATCCCAAGTGCTGTGACCACCTGGGCTCCAGTTCTGAGTCAGTCTGTGGCCCGGAGAGCAGGATCTATTACCAGAAGATGGACAAGAGGGAAAAAGCTTCCTGGCAATGAGAAAGAGCAGAGCCCATGGGTCTCTTTACCCACCCTATTCATATGCCTTCACATTGAGGCTGAACTATGTTGAGGTCCTAAACCTGACCTGAAGCCTAAAAGCAAATCACATCCTACCAGAAAAAATGATCTTTCAGTCACTTTGAAATCACTTTTAGCCCTCTCTGTGAATCTCACCAGGAGACTGGCAGTGTCTCCTGGAGATCCTCCATTGTAATGACGGAAATTGAGTTAGCAGATTGGTTTCACTATAAGCTCTGCTACTTACTATCCCAGTTATCTTAGCTGGCCAATGGATTGCTGTGTACTTCTCTATGTGAACAAGGCATTCTAGTGCCTACTACACAGGGTTATCGTCAGTGTTAAATGGAAGAGTTCATGTTGGTGTTGCACCTGCCAGAGAAGACTGGCTCTTATACCATTACAGCCCCAGGGCCAGCAGTCTGTTTCATGGGAATCTTGATGGGAAGTCCTGGAAATAGGCTCACCCACAGGAGGTCACATTGGTCTCTCTGTACTCTCAGGTATGCATGTTCTTAGTTGCTGTTGAGTTGGTTCCAACTCTTGGTGACTCCATATACAACAGAATGAAATGCTGCCCGGTAGTGCTACAACTTGTGATTATTAGATGTTTGAGCACCTTCCCACCTAGGGGGCTCACTGTTATCAGCACTGTTTTGGTTCCCTAGTACCACCCTAACAGAAGATAGCACAGGTAGAATGGCTTCCTTCAACAAACAGGAGTTTATTCTCTTAATGTTTTCAAGGCTAGAAGTCCAAGTTCGAAGTGCTAGGCTCTAAGGGCTGGGTGAAAACCCCTCAACCTTAGGCTTCAGCTCTGCCTCTTGCTCCCGACCTACTAAAGCTGGGGGCTTTCTTCACTCAGTCAGCTATTGGCTGCTGAGGTTGACAAACCCAAGGTCAACAAGTAAAAAGGCACAGTCCTGATATTACCAAACCACACAACAGGCTATTGATTTAAGTCTGTTAAGAGTCCCAAGATTGGCAGACAACATGGCAGGCTGCTGAACAATGACTCAGCTACATGCAGGGTCATGCATTCAGCTGCTCCAGTAGATTCCACCATGGAGTTGATTACCAGTCTCACCATGGGGAATAACTACATCCAGCTGCCCAGCCACTCAAAACCAGGCCCAACTAAGCTGACACACAACCTTAACTACCACAAGCACTTTATCAGACAATATTGCATTTTGCTTTGTAGGGTTTTCGTTGCCTTCTTTTCAGAAGGTCACCAGGTCTTTCCTCCTAGTCTGCCTCAGCCTAGAAGCTCCACTGAAACTTGTCCACCGGGAGTGCCTCTGCTGGTATTTGAAATACCGGTGGCATAGCTTTCAGCATCATAGCAACATGCAGGACACCAAAGGATGACACCCTGACAGACGGGTGGTAGCAGACTTGTATACTCATGAACCAAAAAAACCAAACTCACTGCCATCAAGTTGATTCTGACTCAGAGTGACCCCACTGGGTTTCCAAGGCTCTAAATCTTTCAAGAAGCAGACTGCTTCTTCTTTCTTCCATGGGGTAGTGGTGGGTTCAAACTACTGACCTTCTGGTTAGCAGCAAAATGCCTTGCTCCTACACTACCAGAGCTCCTTTGTATACACATCAAGGATCTTGAATAGTTGTGTGGTTTCAAATGGGCCCTGAAAACGTCCATATTGCTTTTGTTGCCTCATCATCAGTCCCATTCACACACACAAGTCTCCTAGCCTGCACCTTCTGGGTGGTCTCACTCTCACCCTCTCTCTTTCTCCACATTCAGGGGTATACACTTTTCTGTCCAGCACTCTGAAGTCCCTGGAAGAGAAGGACCACATCCACCGTGTGCTGGACAAGATCACAGACACTCTGATCCACCTGATGGCCAAAGCGGGCCTCAGTCTGCAGCAGCAGCACCGGCGCCTGGCCCAGCTTCTCCTCATCCTCTCCCACATCAGGCACATGAGGTGAGGCATCCCAGTTTCCCCGTAGGATTGGCCTAAAGAACTCAGGTCCCCCAAACACATGCCATGACCCAGCCAGGGAAAGCTGTTGTGAGAGACTGAATGCCTTGATATGAGTAACACAAAGAGAACAGTTCTTGACATATACTAAGCACAAATACTATGAGAGGGCAGAAGTGGGGGGGTATGTGTTGTGATTGTGACATGGGCAAGTGTCAGAGAAGGCTTCACAAAGGAGTTGAGAGTTATACGCAGTTTGAGGCATAGGCAAAGCCCAGTCAGAATGGAAGAATGTGAGGTATGCAGGTGGGGTAGGGGCAACGTTTGGTTGTTCGCTTGTCCTACCCTAGTCAAGGGAAGAGTGTGAGTACACCCATCCTTTGAAGGTGCTGTTCCTACATCATACACCCCTACTTACACACCTGGCAATCCAAATGAGCCTCCTGGGCCAGATGTTTTGTAGACAGTCAACATTGACTCCTCCACTTCTCTTCACCCCCTTGCCACCCCCTTTGCCATACCCTAGTGCAAACCACTATCATTTCCTGCTGGAATTCTACATCCAAAATTCCTAGTTCAGGGTAAAAGTAAATTTTCTTGAAGGTAAGTTTACTTCCTCAGCCAAGAAACCTGACGGAGGATATCTGGTTGTTCAGGTCCAGTACCTGCTGCCCCCTAGGTAGTATTCATCAAAAGAAATAACCGGGAAAGGACTGGGAACCACATCCTCAGAGTAGAGCCACCTACCCTACCTGCTCAGTGGGAGGCCTTTGCCTATTTCCTAGAGAATCCCTGGGGAACAGAGACTGAAATGACTTTCTCCCAAACTTTGCAAAGTGGAAGCCATCATGCCTTCAATCTGGATCCCTTCTAATCCATTTTTTATAAGAGAGCCATTGTCCAACCAAATCTGATCATGTCATCGTCTTGCTTAAAACCTTTAAATGGCTTGCCATTGCTTTTCCAGAAAAGTATCACTCCCTTTTTTTTTTTTTTTGCATGTATTACCCCTTAGGATCCAGCACCTCCTTACCTGCCTAGCTCTTCCTCATAGTCTAGGTGCCAGCCATAGTGAATTGTTCTCTGGGTCAGCTGTGAGGCTCTCCTGGCTGCAGATTGGCTGGGCAGCTGTTTCTCTCAGCTGGGCTCACTCACACATCTGTGCGTCAGCTGATTGAGGGTGGGCACAGCTGGGAGACTCTGCTTCAAGCTACAATGATTGCAGGTTGCCCAGGTAGACTTTGCTCCACATGTCTCTTATCCTCCTTGTACCCAGCAGGTTAGCTGCGGCATGTTCTTCTCAAAAAGATGGCAGAGGCACAAGAGAGCAATCCCATTTGAGCAGTGCATTTTAATCCTTCAGTTGAGTCATGTCCACTAGCATTCTATTGGCCAAAACGTCATATGGTAAAGGCCAAAGCCAAAGATCCTGGGTGCATGGCAGAGGGGAGGGAATATTTACAAATGATCATCTACTCTGTTATAGCTCAGGTGTCACTCCTTGCAGAAAGCATCCCCTGACCCCCTAAAGCCTAGCTGGGATTTATACCCTACCCTTCCCTGTTGTTCTACCAAAACAAACTCACCGCCATCGAGTCAGATCCGACTCAAAGCGACCCCTCCTTGGGTTTCCAAGGCAGTATCACTATGGAAATAGATTGCCCAACTGCCCATTTTATCATATCTGCCTCTCCATTAGCCTGTAATCTCTGAGGCAGACACCGCAATCTGTCTTGCTTCCTCTGTGGACCCAACACCACCAAGCACAGTGCTTGGCATATAGTAAGTGTTCAGTAAATATTTTCTACAGGAGCCAAGGAAAGGCATCAACAGAAGAAACAGAGCCTGCCTATGCCAAGGTGAAAGTAGCCTCATTCCACTATGAATAGTCATACAGTTTGCTTGGCTGGGGCTTAGTGGAAACCATGCCCATGAGCAGAACTCAGTGTATAGGGAAGAGATGGAGAGAGTGGGGGCTGCAGACTCCAGAAAGCCCATAGCTGTGAGGTGAAGTGATGACAAGAGAGGGACAGGTGGTAATAAGTGATGACATCTACATGACCTCAGGCTTACACTAGGACCCAAGAATGAAAAAGAGATTCCTTTTCTTAGTGGCCTTGAGGGTAGAGCCAAGGCGTCTGAATGGGGTTGGATGAAATAATTTTTAAGGAGCCTTCAAACCTGGGGATTCTGTGATTCAACTGGCAAGAACTTCGTCCCTTTAAATTCCTAGTGCCACCCTTTTGAAGACAACCTTGCAGGTTGTTACCTTCTTGAGAAAATAGATGTGTTTTTTCTTTGCATTTCCCACAGTGAAGTCTTACCTACAGTAAGTGCTCACAACATTATTACTGAATGAATGAGAGAATACGTGAATGAATAGAAGACTTGAGGTTTTCCCTGCCCTATGCACTTGGAATTTACAAGTGATGGCTTGTAAATTGAGCACAGCAATTTCAGTCTGTGCTCCCAGGACTTGCCCAAGAATCCCTGGGAAACCCACGAAGGACTCACCTTGGGCAGGTAGGGTAGGTGGCTGCACTCTAATATATGTTCCCCATCGTTTCCTGTATCTTTCTTTTGATGACTATCACAGACAGGGCAGCAGGAAACGGACCAGGATAATATGTCTTCTGCCAGGTTTCCTGGCTGAGCAAATAACCTTACTTGGAAGAAAACATAACAGCTTTTACCTAAGCTAAGAATTTCAATGATGCTGTAGAAACCGTGCATTGCAAATGAATGTTTTTGTATCTGGGAGCAATTGCTACATTTTCAAGTCCATTAGCTGTTTGTCAGCATTAGCAAGCCTAATTAGTTAATGCCTAGTATATTTGCACTAAATACACAGCCCTTGCTGATTCTGTTAACACCATATAGCTGAGGGCAGCAGCAGCGGGAGAGCTCTGGGTTGTGTGGGAACACAGGACAAGCTGCAGAGAGATTGCGGTTCCACTGGGAGCTTTGCACATGCTCCCCCTCCCCACCGCACACAAACACACACACACACACACACACAGACAGTAATAGTTTGGTGCCTCATTACATCCCCTCTAAAGCACAGAGCTCTGTTTGGTTAAGCTTGGCTCCAGCCATGTGTTGTTATTCAGCAAACCTAGCCCCAGACTTCATCTCACTATAAATATGATTCATTAGATTGTCCTTGAACACAGTGCCAGATCCAGAGGGCACTGAACATTGACAACATTTTAAATAAAATAAAATAAGCCAAAAATACCACTTGGAATCATAATTTAGGTGGTTGGGTTGTAGGACCTGAGTAGCTTTGGTGCTGAGTTTTAATGGCACGTTTCCAACTTGTGCTCACTTTTCCCCACTAAAAAGGCAAATATTTTCTAGAACATTCTCTTGGTCCTGGCTACTCCTGACACATCTTGGTTTTGGAAGAATTTCAAGCTAGGGAGTAATTCTTTTTTTTTTCCCCTGGTGGTGCAGTGGGGACAGGGCAGAGTCAAGGTTAAAGGAGGAGGACAGAGGAGTGTGGTGAAGGAGAAATGCCATCTACCTGCATTGCCCTGGGCCTACACAGGCCCCATGTTCCGAGTATTTACAAAACTCTAGGTACTGTTCTAGGCCTGCAGTAGAGGACCTAGTAAATTGGTTGCCATCAAGTTGACTCTGACTCATGGTGACCCATGTACGTCACAGTAGACTGCCCTCCATAGGGTTAACAATGACTAGTTTTCTTCTTTTTAGAAGAAGATCCCCAGGCCTTTTTTCTGATATACCTCTGGATGAAGTAGACTCTCCAGGCTCCTTTTGGTTAGCAGTCAAATTCACGAACTGTTTGCTTCACCCAGGCACTCCCACAGTAGAGGATGGGATGGGCACATCCCTGTCTCTTCTGGGCTTAGCTTGTGTTGTGTGTTTGGGTGTGTGTGTGTGTGTCTGGGAAGGAATACATCTGCTAACAAATAAATAGAGAGGGAGATACACAGACACAGGGAAGAGTTTTAGATAGTGATAAGTGCTGTAAGGAGAATAGAATAATGAGAAATAGGGGCTGGGAGTGGAGGGGTTTGAGGCTGCTGTCACGGGGGTAGTGGGAAGGCCTTTCAGAGGAGGTGGCATAGAAGAGGTAGCAGAAAGGGCACTCCAGGCAGAAGGAACAGCAAGCACAAAACCCCTAAATCTGGGAGGAACTTCGTTTCTGCAAGGGACACCACAAAATCCAGTGTGACTGAAGAGAGTGTGTTAGGGACAGTAGGTAGGATGAGGTCTGAGAGATAGAGAGGAGGTAAGACATTTAGACCTTATAGAGGCTGGAGAGGGAACTCGGGTGGCAAAGTGCTGAAAGCATGCAGCTGCCACCCAAAAAGTTGGTAGTTGGAACCCACCAGCCGCTCCACAGGAAAGAGATAAGCCATTGTGCTTCCATCAAGATATACAGCCTTGGATACCCTGTGGAGCAGTTCTACTCTGCTCTTCAGGGTTGCTATGAATCAGAATTAACTCGATGACAGTGGATTTAGAGCCTGGAGAGAGTTGCCCTGTTGATGCAATGGTTAAGCACTCAAAAGTCTGGCAGTTTGAACCCACCAGCCACTCTGCAGGCTGGAAAAGTTCTAGCAATCTGCTCCCATAAAGATTACAGCCTAGGAAAGCCTATGAGACAGTTGTATTCTGTCTATAATGTCACTATGAGTCATCATTGAGTTGGCAGCACACAACGACAACAGCCTGGAGAGAAATTTCAACTTTATTCTTTGTGAAATGGGAAACCATTGGAAGGATTCAAGCCAGGCTGTGGCTTGAACTGATGCACATTTAAAACACTCATTCCTACTTGGGTGTGTGTCTCATCTGTTCTCTTTCTAGAGGCAATGGGGATAGGGGAGTGGGGTTCTCATCTGAGACAGGTGAAGGGAATCACCTGTATGCAAACACTTGGCAAATGGCTAGAGAGAGTGGGTGCTTGTGAGTATAAGACTCCCCCCATAAACAAACAAAAACCATGTCCACCAAGCCAATTCCGACTCATGGTGATCCCATGTGCTCCAGAGTGGAACATCTCCATAATATTTCATGTCTGTGATCTCAATGGACGCAGATTGCACAGGCCTTTCTTCCGTGGTACCCCTGGATGGGTGTGAGCCACCGTCAGGCTAGTAATCAAGTGTAAGTGCTTTGTATGAGCCCCAGACTGGAAGGCACAGGGTTCTTGAAGGCCCTTCACCCTACTGGGAAGCAATCTTAAAATGGCTCTTGAAACAGGAAGACAAATAACATGCAAGTATCTTTGGGGGTTTTTCTTACTTCCCCTTCCTGGGAGCTTCAGCCATCCTGGGGTTTGGGTTGGGTCTAAAGTAGTCCTCTCTTCCTTCCAACCCCTAGCAACAAAGGCATGGAGCATCTCTATAGCATGAAGTGCAAGAACGTGGTGCCTCTGTACGACCTGCTGCTGGAGATGCTGGATGCCCACCGGCTGCACACCCCGGCCAACCGTGGGGGCGCTCCCCTGGAGGAGAGAAGCCAGAGTCAGCTGGCCACCATGGGCTCCACTTCGTCGCATTCCATGCCAACGTATTTCTTCAACGGGGAGGCCGAGAGTTTGCCTCCCACCATGTGAGAGTGCCTGGGTCACCCGAGGTTCTGAGAATCCCTGCAGCCTTCCCCCACTTCATGCGTCACTTTAGCAGAGTTTTGTCTCTCCTCACACTCCGGCATGCATCCAGCACACTGGTTTCCTCTGATGAGTGCCCATTCATTTGCTTGTTCAGTTCTTAGTGGCACACCTTCTATTGGGAACAGCCAAAGGGATTCCAGGGCAAAAATCTTGGTAACAGCTCTCCTTATCCTTTGCTCCATTACTAAGCGTGAGGATGCCTGCAGCTTCTGGTGGCTGAACTCAGTCTGCAAGCTGGGGTTCAGATGACTCTGTGCAATTTAAGCTACTTGTTGAGACTCAGGCCTGGAGAGGTGGACTTTTCACCTCTGTGAAGCACTTTTTAATGGTTCTAAGCATACGCACAGGAAAAAAACTCAAAGCAGCTCTTTTGCTGATTTGGAGAAAATGAGGTCCAGGGTTCATCCTCTTGTATTCCTATAGTAACATTTCATTTTATTAAATTAATGCCTTGAACCTTGTGTTCTTTTGCATGGCTGTAGCAGAATTCTCAGTGACTGTTTGTTCAATTCCCCTATAGGAATACAAGGTGCCCACAGAGATGTAAGACGCCTGAATCATCCAACTGTGTCAGCTTAATACAGTGCACCCCCAGGCTTGCCCAACGCTCTCCCATTGACTTTTGAGAGTACTGTGCACAAGCCATGGCCTCTGGTTCACTCTTGCCTCCCGTGGCTCTACAGAAACCAGCAAGTTAATCCCAGTTAGGTCACTTCCATATATATAAGTCTCCCTAGATCAGGGATAATTTCCTATTTTCTTGGGTTTTTTGTTTGTTTGTTTGTTTGTTTGTTTAAAAAAAGAAAACCCTCTTCCTCCAGGGCACACAGTGGAATTGGCTTCAGGACCTGTTCTGGTACTGTCTGTCTCACAGTTACCAGCATAGGGTGCTATGCTTGGTTCTTCAAGATGGGCAGGTAACTTAGAAGGTGAATTAGTCACATGTATTGCCCAGCCTGTGAGCAAGGACAGTTTAAATGAGCAGGCACCCTGGTCCCTAGTGATGCTTTAGCATGGGGGCATTGGGTTAACTAGTAAACCAAATCAAAACCAAACTCACTGTCAATTCCAACTCATAGTGACCCTATAGGACAGAGTAGAACTGCCCCATAGGGTTTCCAAGGCTGTAAATCTTTATGGAAGCAAACTGTCCCATCTTTCTCCCATGGAGCAGTTGGTGGGTTCGAACCACACCCTTTGTTTAGCAGCCTAGCACTTAACCACTGCCCTCCCCCCCCCAGGGCTCTAACTAGTGGAAGTGCCTGATTATTGCAGGCACTAAAGAATGAGGAAGAAATCAGGGTAGAAACTGTAATTGTGAGGCTCAGGCCTGACCTGAGAGCAGAGCTCACACACGCATTGGGGGTGGCCTTGGTATCTTTGAGGTGATTGCCTCTGCTTCATTCCTGGCCTGGCTCTGGTGGGAACAAACAGCAATAGATGGCTACATTCCCGTAAGCACGCAACACATTGAGGGGCAGAGGATGAGGCAGGGTTAGGAGCACCCCTTCCTCACATGCCCTTGGGTGTTAGAGCTCACAATCAGGGTTTGGCCTTGGGAAGAAAATTCTGCCAGAGTTCATGTCATCAATGTCCAAGGCCAGGACAATGAGACCAGCTTGGAGCCACAGGAATCCTTTGGCCTATGGGCTACAAGAGAAAGGCTGCGCTCAGCCACAGGGCCCCTTCTCTGGACTTGTGCTTCTCTAGAACAAAATATGAGTTATTGCCTTTTCTCAACTAAAGCAAAATGTGGTTTCCCCCATGACCTCACTGTCTATAACCTAAACCCAACGTGGGAAGCCTGTTTCGAAATTGTGAATCTCACTCATTTCAGATTGCCCAGTAAGTGACCACCAAAGAACCTGGAAACTGGGAGGGCAAAAAAAAAAAAAAAAAAAAAAAGAGTTTTCATATCTGTACATCTAAATTTGGGGGCAATTTTGTGTATCTTCATATTCTTTTTTGTTGTTTTACATAGGGTTGCTATGAGCAGGAGTCGACTTGATGGCAGTGGGTTTGGTTTTGTTTAGTTTGTTAAAGAAGCACCTTACTTACATAGTATAATATATATTTTTTTGAAATTTTCTTTGCTTGTTTATCAGACAATTGAATGTAGTAATTCTGTTCTGAATTTAATTTGACTGGGTTAAGATTCCAAACCAACAATGAAGAAAAAGATATTTAGTTCTTTTATATACTTTTCAAGCTACCTTGTCATGTATGTAGTCACTGATGCCTGAGGCCTGGTGATTATTCATTTAAATGAAGGTCACATTTCATATCAACTTTTGTACCCACAGTAGACAAAATAGCACTAATCCAAATGCCTGTTGCTGGATATTGAATGATAGACAATCTAATATAGCAGAGGTTATGCTGGAAAAGGAAAATTATTCAGGGCAGCTAATTTTGCTTTTACCAAAATATCAGTAGTCGTATTTTTGGACAGTAGCTAATGGGTCAGTGGGTTCTTTTTAATGTTTATACTTAGATTTTCTTTAAAAAAAAAATAAAAACAAATAAAAAAAAACCTACTTTAGCACTATAGGTGATGTAATACCAGCTAAATCCAAACAACGCTACAGTGGAGGGTTTTACATTATCCATTGAATGTTTTTGTATTCATGTTACGATACTGCTACATTTCAAATGGGCAGAGGATATCAGATGGCTTGAATGGTAGCCTAGAAGTCTCAAGTAATTTTAGAAATCTCTTTTGATTCTTATGTGAAGTGCCACTAATGGATAGCTGACATTTTGCAGCTGATGTTGCTCTTGGGGAGATGACATCCATGGAACACTTGCTTAGGGTTTTTCCCCCACTCTGAGGCAATTTAAGGTTAGAAGGGCATGAACGACCCACCTAGGGGGTGGAGGGAGGGTGGAGAAGAAGATTCAGGGACGTGGGAAATGTGAATTACAATACTAAGAATATTGAAAGTATTTTGAGACAGATCAATCCTGGAGCCCAATGTATGTACCAGGGCTCAGCTTTCCACTTCTGTGCTGTAAGCCACAAATAGCTCCAATTGACAGCAGTTTCTAAATGGTGGCTCGGGTTTTAGAGACAGAAAATGCCACCAGCAGTAGAGTCCAAGGATTAGCTATCTAGCCTGTGTTTCTTTGAACTGTTGCCAGGCTCTTCATTTGCTGCGATGATTTTTGTAATTCTATCATGCAGCAATAAGAGACGCTAAGTCACCCAAAGAAAGACACAGTGCAGGTTGTAAAACGCAGACCCCAAGGATCTGTGGTCTCTGACTAGATTTCCCTAATACCTTGCATGTATATTTCATCATGCCGTACCCCATGCCCTTTTGGGCCTGAACGAGTAAGGGACTTACTGATCATTGACTTTCGATCACACTGAGGTATACTCGCATACAAGTCTTAGACACTGAAATGTTCATTGATTTAGGCCATTGGTTTCAAGCCTCCCCAAATGAAACCAATCCTAAATCCCTTCCTGTTCATACTTCCCAGCTCTGAAGTAGACTGTGGATATGGGGAATGGTCACTAGGACCGCAGTAACGTCTGTGATTCCCTGGCACATCTACTTGGGTCGGGGGAGGTGGGAAACTAGTCATTTTGAAAGATAAATAGTCCTACAATAGCTTATCAAGCAACCATGATTCTCTTTGGTCTTGGAAAGTTGATCCAGATTTCACTGCACACTTAGGTTAACTCCCTAAAAACTTACTCTCAACTGGAGCAAACGAACTCAACTATGGTCCCAAATATCCATGTTTTCATTAGTGTGATTATGCTGTTTCTAACTGCATTTCCTTTCCATTTGAATTAAAGTGTTACCTCCTTTGAAGTCATTGAAAATTGTTTTCTACGTAATTGCTGCATCTATTATGGCACTTCAGTTTTGCACTGTAAGAGATTCAAGAAATATTTCTATTCTTTTTTTTTTTTTTTTTTTTTGCATCCAAATGTGCCTGAACTTTTAAAGTGTGTAAATGCTGCCATGTTCCAAATCATCTTCAGTGTGTTTCTACAGAGCTGTGCACCATGGGAGCAAGTACAGTCCCCTGACCAGGTGCCTGAGACTTGGACCCCTTTGCATTCAGAGAGGTCATTGGTGATAGAGACTTGAATTAATAAATGACATGATGCCAGTTTATGTTTTCTCATGGCTTAGAAACGATGCTTTTTGTTCACCCCATATTCTGCAGTGTAAATCTCTTGTTATATGGGAAAAGGCTCCAAAGCCAAATTCTGTTTGATGGGTTAATACGTCCTTTTGCAGATACACACTACTATCGATGTTAGTCTGTTTCTGTTACAGCTTTGCTTTGTTTAATGAAACACACTTGTAAACCTCTTTTGCACCTTACAAAAAAAGTGAAAGAATCCATGGGATGCTCAAGCACCTGTAAGCGATTTTCTCCACCTATTTGATGTTCAAATAAAAAATTAAACTGAAGACAACAGGTTTGGTTCTTGTGAGTTCCACTTCTCGCTAATGGTTCACCACACTGACCACCTCACCTCAAACCAAAGCAATCAAGTGTATCATCTGTAGAACACCATGACGAGCAACCTGCATGCCAGGGCCCCTCCCACCTCACTCGTAACCCTCCCTGTAGGTAGACGAGACCACATAGATGGTGGACTCAGGCAAACCTGGCCTCCATTCTTGGCTCCACCACATACCTGCTTTCCGATTGTTGGCAAGTTTCAGAGCCTCTGCTTTCTCATGAACAAAATGGTAATCATGACACCTGATTCACAGGTACCTGGGAGGACTGAGTGAGGTGCTCATTAAAATGGGGGTTGTTTTCTAATGCCTAAGCCCAACCTCATCCCTGGGAGGGAGAAGAAGGAAGCTTATGAATAAATGAATGAGTGAATGAATGAATGATCTGAACATTATATAATCAGCTCACAAACCTCTCCCTCATCAGCAAGGTAAGCAGGTATATCACTGAAA